ACGCCTTGTAGTGACCAAAACACTCAGATGGTTCATTTCACCACGTCTGGTGCTTCCACTAAAGGCTGTCATCCTGAAATGTTCTAATTAAGATACTAAATGTTTAATGTAGGCAAGCCTATATCAAAGTATTAAAAGTAAATATTCTGCTAGGTTAGAAATGCTTTTGAAATGATCAAGAAAAACAGATTTTGCATGAGCAGTCATACCTTTAAATGGAGTGTTAATGTTTGAATGAGTTTCTGTCTCCCTCACCGTTGAAGGTTGTATGTCAGTAAGTTTGAGGATAAAGATGTTCCCAGTCAGGAAGATGCATTTATCTAGTGTTTTGGTTGAGGTTAAATTTGGGCCAAGTACTATTTCACATCACTGTAGGAACTTTGCTTTGTGATTTCATTAGGACGTTAAAATCATCTAAATTTAGTCTGCACAGTGGCATTGCTGCTAGCACTGTTGCTTTGCAGCAACACAGCTGCAAAACAAATCCCATCTTGGGCTCTTTGACTGGAGTTTGCATGTTCTTCCTGTGCTTGTGTGTATCCTCTCCTGGTACTCCAGCTTCTCCCTACTGTCATGAGTTGTGTGGGTGATGCCGGTAAGAGAGAACACTGAGACTCAGATGATGATGATGATTTAATAAAGAACTCAAACACAGTCCAGTACAGACAGCACGGCAGGAACACTAGCACACAGCTAATTACCGGTAGCAACTGAAAAACTGACGACTGACTAAGAGAACTAAACCAATACAGGACTTTACAGTTCGACTGTGATGGCAAGCAGACAAACGACAAATAACATACGACGAGGAACACAGACAACAGGTGGGACTTAATAAACTGGGAGGGTAATCACAGGAAGGATACACAGCTGGGATCAATCAAGACAGCACAGAGACTCACGGGGGGAAAACAGGACTAGACACAGAAAGAAAAAACTCAAAACACAGAAAAACACAGAACCTAACACCTACAGTTCAAAAATAGGACTGTTAGGTTAATTGGTCATGACTGACTGAGATGGGCACCAGGCCTCCCCCACACACCTGCGATCCAGCAGTGATTAAAGTGGTAAAATAGATGGATGGATGGCTGTTTTACATATTCTTATTAAACTGTAAAAGTCTCACAGTGTCAACTCAGTTTTAATTTCAGCCCTCCAAAATAAAACGGTAAACATTTCTTTCCCAAATACCTGAAAGTACCAGGCAGGATAACTAGCTAAATAGGAAACAAGACATCTTTTTTTTTTTTTTGCCAAGAACATAGTCTTTTTATTATATAAGCAATCAAACATGTCCAGATCTTCCAGGGATCTTAATTAGTCAGTTTAGCTTTAAACTGACTAATTTCAATTCACAATTTAGGGACGGGTTTTGACAAGAAGTCTAAGCACTTACTCAGTACACACAAACTTCAGAAGTTGAAACTTAGCTCATTACATTGTAGAAAAACTCATTACAAGTAACCTTAATTCCAAAAAATAATTTTTAATGGAAAAGTTCATAACTGTCAAAGATTTTGTACGAATTTCAAATACTGTTGCATAATAAAAACTCATGCCTCTAGAAAATGCAATATTTTAATTGTACTGTCTCTAGTTAAAATGAAGAATCTCAGAAAACGCTTTTTCACAAGTTGTCGGAAGAGCTAACCTGGAGAATTTGCCACCTTTTTTGGTGGGATTAATAGCCTCTCTTTACTGGTGGAAAGACCAGACAGAGGCAGAGAGAGTTTGAGCCTGGATCAGCTGAAGATTGCGATATATGCCATACAAACGAAAAGGTATTGCTTTTGCAATTAGAACCATTCATTATGTGCCTCTGCTTGAAATTTGTAATTGATACAGGGATCAGGACAAAAGGGAATTATTTTACAGTGAAGAGTTTTTCAAAAACAACCAGTAATCTGTTAAAGTTTTATTTTGCGAAAAACCCAAAAAGGATTATATTAAAGCTATTTTGGCATTAGGACCAACTTATATGGGGTCATTTTATGCAAAGCTTTTTTTAAAGCATACCGTATTTTCTGGATTATAAAGCGCACTCTGAATTATGGCGTCCATTTCTGTATTTAACTCATGCATAAGCCGCACCGGATTATAAGACGCATGCTAAAGCAAAAGGTCAACAACAACAAAAAAAGGTAACGGAAACAAAACAGTAAGTTTGTTTGAACTTTATTCGACTATGTAACAATACGCTCACGTTATATTTTTATTCTTCTTCCACAAATCCATCAAAGTCCTCTTCTGTGTCTGAATTGAACAGCTGGGCAATTTCGCCATCAAACATGCCAGGTTCCCTCTCATCAATGTCGGAGTCAGTCTCGTTGCCAGGTGGCTGTTCAGCAATGATGCCGGCTTTCGTGAAATCTCAGAGAACAGTTAAGGCAGATACATTAGTCCAGGCATCCACAATCCATTCACACATGGTGGCGTAACTCGCCTGGTGCTGCCTCCCCGTCTTAGTAAACGTGTGTTCGCAGTCTGTCATCCATCGCTCCCACGCCGCTCGCAAGTCATTTTTGAACGCCCTGTTTAAACCAATGTCCAGTGGTTGGAGTTCTTTTATTAATCCTCCCGGAATGACGGCAAACTTTGAATTAATTTGCTTCACTTCCTTTTTCACAGTAGCAGTGAGATGGGCGCGCATGGCGTCGCAGATGAACAGGGACAGTGATGCGTGGAAAAACCTATCTAACCTAATGCTGAATGTATCATTACAACCCCACAACCAAATATCATTTACATTTACACAGTCAGGTAACCCAGACAAATATGTCTTATGTCCAAAACCTGACTTCTCAGGAGGTGACTGGTTCAACTGAGAGTTTCGATCTGCAAAATAGATGGCGTAATAGAACAGGTCTGATGGTCTGATCTCTTAGGCCATAAATTAAAGAAGTCAAACATCTGGGTAAGACAATAAAAAGCACATAAATAACATCCTGGACCCATACAAATACTATCCTTCGTACGGTTGTTGCAAGAGCTAAGAGCAGTGGGTAGTAAAAGGTATAAGACAGACTGAGGACCAGCTGAACTAGGTGCAGCAGAAGTGTCTTACGAGCTTTCAGGGCAGATGCTTTATCTGTAGAAGCTGACTTTGCTGCTATTACAACTCCAGTATACGAGGAAATTACAGTCAAACCGGCTGAAACAAATACCACAGCGTTGTATGCTCTGTCATAATCATCACACAGCGAATTTGGAATCCAGCCAACGTCAGTGCAATAATCTTCCATCAAGACTTTCCCGAACTTTTCATATGAATATTCTATCAAAAACAGATTTCTAGTGACATTAATTGGTGAACTGACAGTCCAAGCTGCAATAATGGCCACTACTGTGTTTTTGATGGTGATAATGGAAGCGTGCCTCAGTGGATAGCAAACAGCCACATATCTCTCCAGAGACATTATCACCAGGGTCAGAGGAGAAATTCCTGCTGTGAGATTGGCCATAGTAGTGATGGTACCACATACGGCATATGTTATTCTAACTCGACCAACAGCAAGGAGAAACAGAACCTGAGTCACTACCAGCTGAGCGGTATCTGCAACAAGGAGGTTATATAGAAGAATATAACGACAAGTGTATCGAAACACAGGTTTACTCCTCAAAGAGAACATCAAGATCCCATTAATGATGAGGAAGAAACACGCAGGACCTGTAGACAGAAAGGAAAGTACAATTCTTTCCAGTAAACCCTGATACTGCTGTTCAATAGTGATGTTAAATGGGGAAGAAGACATTGCAGGATTATTTAAAGCATATCAGCAATATACCTGCTGAAGATGCTGAAGACCTAAAGCAAATGTTAAGATACAACAGCTGTAAGTAAGAGACACCAACATATATAAAGACTGTATGAAGTGGGCAGGTTAGAGTCTATATGTGATGCCTTGGGGCAGAGATTGTCTGCAGGGTTTCCCTGGCTCCACATATGTTTTATGAGCTTTTTCCTGCCAACCTGCTCAAATGGTAGATCACATGTCTAGGTGATCAGGGGATCACCACTAAGTGATGTAATTTTCCTTTCCACTGTTTATCAGACAGAGAATGGCTAGAACAAATATTTAAACAGGTCAACTCATACAAAGCCATGTTAAGACAATATTCTGCTTTTAAAAAATTAATGGAAAAATTAACAGGAAAACTTATCAGCAGTTTTGATAACTCACTGCGTGTTGTGGTGTTGCTGTGTCACACTGAGATGTGCCAGTTGTGAGAATGCTCTCACAGATTATGTTGAAGGCCCAGGAACTTGTGACCCTCTCCACTTCTGTTCCCCTGATCGAGAAGGAGTAGTGATCAGTTGCTTTGTCTTTCCTATAATGAGTATGATCTGATTCTTCTCTCTGCAGAACAGTGTGCTGTTGACCACCTCTGGGTTAGCTATCTCATTTCCTCCCTTGATGAGGCACAGGATGATCTTTGTCATCTGTTAATTTTATGGTCACTGCCTCATCATTGTTGGAGAAGTAGTTTTTTGGATGTACAAAGTGAGGCAGCAGCCCTGTGGTGATCTGTTGCTGATTTTCACCTTGGAGACCATTTCTCTCTTGCTGAGGTCTGTCCACAAGAAAATCTACTGACACCTGGGCAAGTTGCAGGTGTCAGTTGGAATTCCAAGTTCAACCAGTTCTCGACGTTCTGTTATGGGTTGTTGTGTTGACACAGGGGTAAACCACAACCCACGTGAGGAGGTTTTAGTTCTTGACGTGGCCGTCGCATGTTTGAGTCCCAGCCTGCTGACTTTTGCCATGTCTTCCCTGTCTCTCATTTCCCACTTTCCTGTCAGACCATTTTCAAATACAGGCCAGTAAAACCTAAAAAAAAAAAAAAAACTTCTGTTATGGTTCTTGGTAAATGTCCGACACACATTCAAAACACTAGGCACGTGGGTCGAACAGGCTTTTTGCCTGTGGAGGCAAAAAGCATTTAAGGTGTTTTTTCCCCTTTTTTTTACAATGCAATGAATAACTGAATGAAAGACCTTGGTCTGGATAGATTCTGGAATCGGGGCATATACAGGAATACTGGAGACAGAGTGAGAAGAGATGATGTTTGGACTGTGAACATGAATTTATTGAAAAGGCAGCTGATCTTACTGTGGAGATGATAAGAGAGTGCAAGGGAGTGAAGTCTGTGGAGAGGAGTACCTGTTGAGGGAAAATCAGAGGACGGTCAGGTAAGTTGGAATGAGTTTTGAGCCTATGGAAGTTTGGAGCTGAGAAGCAGTGAGTTTGTAGGAGTGCGGACATGTAAAGCCAACAAAGAAGGCTAAAGTGGAGCCTTGATATTCTTTTGTTCTTTGTTTTGTCTACTTTACATATGGGTAGAGATAACCCTGGATCTTCATTGGCAGTTTGTGGGTGACTGAAGGAAACCAGGAAATTTTCACAAAGGATCTGGTCCAAACTATTGATGGAGGTAACATTTGAAGAAGCACAAGTAAATGGGGAGTTGGGGAACAAGTGACATACTATTTTGAAGAGGGCTTAGAGTTAACACTCTAGCACCAACAGACTGGTGGCAGGTTTCTCTTAACCTTGAGCTGATGATGCTGCTGCACACCTGCCAAGGTCTACCCTCCAGTGGGAAGCTATATGGCCATCAGCTCTAGGAGTCCCTCTGGTGGAAAACTGTGATGGCTGAAGGAGAGAAGTGAAAACCCCAGATAGACCCACAACCCAACTCCTAACATGTACTAGTTTCTGAAAGTATGCTCTTTTAGCTGCTCTGATCAATTTTACGATGGGTTATGATGTCAATTTTTCTTCATGCATACATTTATTACAAATTACTCTAAAGACATCCTTTAGTACAGATTTTTGCTTATTTTATACACCAGTGGCCATGGAAGTAATCAGAACACTGGGTTCTGATAATCTGGATAGGTGAGCAAATACCTTTGGTCATATATTGTATCTTTGGTGATACATGCTCTTTTAACTTCTAACAACACATTTCCTGAAGGGACAGTAACACCTGGACCTCAGGAGGCTCTCAGAAATGATCCATTTCCTGCAAGGCATCTCATCATAGCCACTACAGCTGTGGTGGGCTTGCTTTTGTGCAGGGGTGGACTGGCTATCAGGAGTGCCCCAGCGACCTGGCCCACTAACTGATTAATACAGTATGGGACCAAAACCTCTGTGCGGGTCTCCAGGGGTGCGGTATAGGGGGGAAAAGTGATGACAATTCTAGAGGCCCTGACCAACAGGGGGCTCTCCACAATTTAATTTTTTTTTTTTTTCATAGAAATAAATAAAAATTTGGGGCCCTGTCGATTACAAAATTAATCATATTGTATTTTCAAAGATTGTTTTAGCAGTAAAAATTTAATATTCCCACTCCCACATCAAAAAACACACATCCATATTTGCCCTGAAACCCCCTATTTGCGTTAAATGGTTTGTTCCTGCTAGGAGCGCTTGAGAGTGACGTTAGTGGAAGACACGAACGATTGTGGCAGTTACTATGGTGCTAAGAAAAGTTATAAAATCAAGTTTTCAAAAAAAGAGGGAAAGGGAGAAAAAGGCAAGAGTGTTAATTTATA